ACAGAGACAGGGTTGTGTTGATAAAGTTGAGCACTTTACAGAATGTGCTGAGCAAGCATGCGGCTGCAGCCTGCTGGGAAAGAAAAAAAAAATAATAATAAAAAGTCTTTAAGTGCGTTGACCCCACTCATACATCACCGAGCGTCCAGTGTCTGGAAAAACAGAAGCAGGAGAAAGATGTCTATGGCCGGTTGTTTTGGTCTCTTTGAGTCACTTTTGTACTCTTCGGAATGCAGACAAAAAGCCTTTGAAGGACTGACGTGAATCACGACAGAGATATTCAGACTATGTCGGTCGGGGCCACCGTTTTCAGGCGGTGGGAATAGAAGCTTTGAAACCACTTCTGTAGTTAAGATCGCGTCAACACCAAGACTGAGAGGAGTTGAATCGAAATCAAGACTTTGAAGCTTTGAGATCAACTCAAAAACTTTGATTCAGTGAGACCAAGTCAAGACCGAGACTTTGAGACTAAGTCGAGACCAACAGGTGTTGACACCAAGTTATAGTCTGCCGCCGTCTGTTGAGTTCTGACCGCTTCTTTGACTCATCGACAAAATGTAAAAGTGGTATAGGCAGAATTTCCTTTTCTCCGCGGATGTGCTTGTGGATGAACCACAATCCTCTGGTCGTTTTAAGTCGACTGACCGGCCGCTGTCGCCTCGTCACCATCTCGCGTGAAAAGTCTCTGCGATGTTGTCAGCAGTCAATCCGATAAGCTTCATCTTCAGTATTGCTCTGACGGGCTGGATTAACCGCATCCGAGTAAGCCGACACTAAGACTGGTCGGTGTGTGAGAATAATGGCCGTCCACAAAAGCCCAAAAGAAGGTCAAGAGGATAAATGTGGTCATCTTGTGTGTGCCGTGTCCTTGCGCTTGCGTCAACACTCGGGAAAAGTACGAGTTGAATGCTAAGTTATTGTCCTTGCGTCACCTCTCGGATGAATCTTGAAGAAAGCTGGCTGGAGGAAAACGTTGACGACGCGTGGAGACGGAGCTGTTAAGAATTCCTCTCATGACGCTTTGTGATCAATTACTAATTGGAGGTTGGGATGGAGGATGCGTGTTTTAAACATGAGGAACAGCAAGGGGGGGGGGGCATTCTGAGGCAACGCCTGGTAACTCCCGCGGAGCACCCCAGGACACTTTTTCTGTGCATGTTGGAGACCAAGTCGAGCCTTTGAGCGGTTCAGAATGAGCCAAGGCCAAAAGGAGCTAGGACCAAGACTTGGAGTTGTTGAAAGCGGGTCCAGACTTTGAAGGTTCTTGTCCAAGTCAGGATGGAGATTTTTTTTAGGCGTTAAGATGAAGTCAAGACAAAGACTTTGATCAGCTGAGAACGAGACAATAGGCAAATGACAGCAAGGACACGTCTTTGACTTTGATGGATTGAGACCAAATTAAGACCAAGACATTGGGGGGGGCTTGAGACCAAGCTTTTGAAATCTTGAGAATCAGGTCTAGAGACCAAAACACCACCAACACTTTGACTGGTTGAGACCAAGAAAAGACAAAGACTTTGAGTCGCCGAGATAAAGTCGAGATAGAGACTTTAGAAAACTTTTGAGTGATCGAAACCAACAGTTTGAGGACCCCAGACCAACTGAATGACCAAGACTTTGTCGGGTTGAGACGAAGGCAAGATTGGGATTATCACGCCCGTCGTAACTGCCAACACGCACTTTGGTTCTGTCTCTGCGCTCCCATTTGAGTCACATTTTAGCCTCCGTCTTGGCTTTTTAAATTGTTATCTGCCTCCAGCTGAGATGCTCGCATCCGAGCAAGGCAAGAAAAGGGTGACCCAAAAAAACAACAAAAAAAAAAAAACCCCAAACAAACAACCCTCAAACATGGTCTGCATCGCTGCGGGGCGTGAGAAGAAGATTGTCCCAATACATCATAAAAGGCCCGGCACCGTTGACCCATTCAATAGCCTGTTATTAGGTTGTCTCGGCGCGCTCGACGGCGGGGGGTAGACAATCTGTGTTTGATCTATCATTTTTTATCTCGTGCGCCTTCCAACCGGGCGAGTGTTCCCAAAAACCTGGCCGAGGTGAAGTCTGACGTGACCCCGAAACAGCAGGGAAGGCTCCAATTTTGGCGCGTCGGTCACACCGAAGGGGAAAAATCGAAACCGTTTATCAGCTGCTCGAAGATTGGCCGGCGCGCCGCGGCGACGTGTCGTACGGAGCCGTGCCGCCAGGTCATTCATAGCTGAGCTTTAAAAAAAAAAAAAACACAAAAATAGATATGGATTTATCGGTTCATTTTAATTCAAAAAATTCATTGTCATTTTGACATTTGATCAATGTTGAGAGATGTAGAATGTGTCAAATAGTTCATTTTAATCACATGACATTAATTCATTCAATTAAAAAAATATATTATGCATCGTTTTTGGTTAGCCAATTATTGAATTCAAATGTTTACCGGCATGGAAAATTTTACGAATAGTGTTTTAATTTGATTTATTTATTTAACGGGTCTTTAATGGAATGAATGGATCCGAAATGAAGTAAATACACAATTAAAGCAGAATAGTGCCATTTAAAGTTGATAAAATAATCAATTCTATTAAGAATACACAAATTATTCTAACTTTTACTCGAATTGTTTACATATAAACTTCCTCAATCGGTCCGCCCAAATCGCATTTTATTTTACGAATACTTTTTATCTAAATCAGTACCGATTACAATGACTTAAATACAAACTAACACTAATTAATTAAGTGTCTAATTAATGAGCATCAATCAATACATTTCATTTTGACGAATCCATTTTAGCGACGGGGGGGAGGGGTCAGCTAAGTGAATCCGACAAATATCACGGGACCCTTGATAAGGGGCCCTCTGTATATCCTTTCAACTAAGTCGGAAAGAGTTGAGTCAATCTTCCAAGATTCATGGTGTGTGTCAGTCGACGTCGAATGTAAAAAATGACTCGCGCTGGTGCCAATCGAAGGCGAATGCGCAGGAGATTGGCTCCGCTCCCGATGGCGCGCCAGATTGATGCCACGGCTGCGTGGTTCCCGCTTTTATTCGCTTCCCTCTCTCCGCCAATCTCCCGTCGGATGTTGCCCGGAGATCCCCGAAGAGCATCGAGTTGTCCCAAATGGGAAGCGATGACGGTCATCTCGCCGGAGAAATGGAGCGGCACGTCATAGGGAAAGTGGGGAGGAAAAGCAAATTTTGAGAGATGAACGTGTCACGGGATGATGGGAGAAGAAGAATGAGCGCAGTCTTTCAAACGATGCGCGGCGGAAACATTTTGGAGGGGGGGGGGGAGTCTAATTGCGGCCGGCTTCAAGGGCCATTACGACAAAACGCTTCACCGTTGGCTGCGATTCCTCCGTAACTTTCACGCACGCACCCGTTTTAACCGTCCCCTGAAAAGTTATTTTTACCCCCGATGGTGGCACGATGTGGTGTGTCGACGTCAGCAGCGGGATTTTCATGGGTTGCGACAAAATCAAGACCGAGACGTTGAGACTGAGTCAACACCAAGGCTTTGAAATATTGAGACCTGGTCAAGACCAAGACTTTGAGAGGTTGGGACATTGGAAGTGTGGAGACCAAGTCAGAACTAAGACATGGAGGACTTGGGGACAAAAAGTCAAGATCAGGAAATTCAACACCGTGACATCGAGGAGGTGATTCGAAAGTTAAGATCAAGACTTTGGGGCCCCGAGACCAAAATCTTGAGCCAATCCCAAAAATCTCTCACAAAAAGCTGCGTGATGTAAATACCTGAAGTCCAGCTGTTTGTGGACTGTCCTGGTGTTTTCAAATCGGACTCCAGAACCACATGCCGTTCCAAACTTGTGCTTCTCAGAATTTTGAAGCACATCAATCATCATCATCATCATCATCATCTGTCGTCTTCTGCTTTGTTCCATGTGTCTCTGGCAAGTAATTGGTGTCACTGTCCCTTGATGTAATATGAATGGGTGGCATTGTGTCGGGTGGTGGAGTGGGGGGGGGGGGGAAAAGCTGCCCTGAGTGCACGACGAGAAGTGAGAGGGGAGAAAAAAAAATGATCAAAGGCCCGCCAACCTGCACCTGGACGGAACGAGGTGGAGATTTTACCGCTGTGGGAATTACGGTGAGAGCTCAGGAGAAGGAGACGCGTAATGGCGGAATTGTGCCGTCGCGGAGAACCTGCTGCGCGAGAGTGGCAGAAAGATGAAGGGGAAGCTGCGACTCCTCCTCGTCATCATCCTCGTCCTCCATGTTGTTTTTCCCAGCCTTGAAGGTTGACACATAAACCGCCGGAGAGTTCTGGTTTAAAACAACAGCCCTGGCTTGACAGCCCAATTGACAAATTTAAAACCCCACTCTTGCCTTAAAACTCTCGTGTAGAAACCTCACGCTGGCTTGAAACCCCCGACTCTAAAATTTGGTGGGCAGCTGTGGATTCAGAATGGATTTGGTAAATTTGACCCAAGGTCGGGTTCATTATTTTGACCCAGCAGACTGGGTTGAAGATGGGATCATGGCTGAGCGATTTCACCCATTTTGGGCTTATTTTCCAGAACGCAGTTTTTAAAGAGTGTCCCTTGACACACTCGACGGTGACGTATTCTTGCCCACGTTGCGGCATCGTCGCCACTCTGAAGTAATAATCGTCTCGTGTAGTAGGCCACTAACGTTGAGTGCATTGTGCTTCAGCGGCGAGGTTGCCGCCGTGTGTTTACACTGTGTGCCGCCGCGCCACTCTAAACCCTCTCGATGCCCACGCACGCTCTCATCCAGCAGTGCAAACACTCTGCACAGATGCGGCCCGGCAGAGCACGCCGAACAAACACGGGCAATTGGGTTTCTTTTGACGCGTCTGTCCTTTGACACGGGGACTACTTGGCGAGTGACTACGTGGATACTCTAATACCGGCGTGAAACCCTCACCGTCATTTCAAGCGCTCATTTGAAAGCCAAACCTAAAATCCAAAGGCAGCCGAACCCGTTAGCCCCCCCGGCTAACTCTTCCTCTCGTCTTCTTGCAGGCATGCGGCTCCTTCCGGAGGCAAACGAGCGGCGGTGTCCCTGGCGCAATCTCTCAGCGTGGCCTTTTGAGAGGAAAGGTCATATCGGCGTCGGCGACAAGGTCGAGACAACGATGAGTGAAAGATCGAGGTAGGAAAAAAAAAAAGCTCAGGGCTCTGCCGTCGTTTGGCTCTGTGCCCTTTGCCAGTTATTGCATCTCACATTGATTGTTTGCGTTGGACCGAGATGACATCAAGTTCGCTAGCGTGATGCAAAAACAACAAACAAAACTGAAGCACGGGAAATGTCGATTGCTACAGTCACTGAAATGCTCGAATTTCATTTTGTAACACCGCAGATTTCAGAAGAAACAAAACTAGAATTTGGTTCCGCAATATACAGTGTATGCTCAAATAACACACACTGACTTGATTTACTGCATCGATTCATTTACAGCATGTTTGCCTTAACATTAAACATTTTATTCAAATAATTGAAAAATCTATATTTATAACATTGGATGATAGTAAATATATACTCATAAAAAAGGATATCATTTTAGTTTTTCATGATCACTTCAGGATGTGATTAGTTACATTAAGATGACTTTTCTCTCGAAATATTTATCATACATACTTGAAGATCAAGTGTGCTTTGTCATTTTTAAAAGGTTCTTTCATTCTGTTCATGTATTTTCTTTTCATCTCTGTCGCCTGACATACACAATACCTTTTCTTTGATTTATTGACTGGTTTCACTTTCCCGTGGCGAGGACACAAAAATAAGAGAAAACTAAAAACCAAAACCTACAATATTTTTTTTCGAGCTCACAACATTTTCAGTTGCGCTTGCACCACGTTTTGGGGGTGTTGTGGACTGGAGCTTTCAATTTTGGTAGCCTGCCTCATAAAATCCTCCCGCGGCAGCAAAAAAGTAAATACGACACCAAAAAGCAAGTGGCCAATAAACATAAGACAAAAGGGAGCATCAGCAACCTCGCGATCGACTGTATAAAATCCCGTTTAGCGACCTTTATGCTTCGCTGGCACGTGCGTTGTCGTTTCGTGCCGCGCGTGAGAAAGCTCAGCCTGCTTTGCTCCACCTGACACTCGCTGCCCTGGACTGCGTAAGGCATTCCTCCTCAGAAATGCGCTCCCCTGCCTTGTCTTGTCGCCGTTGTTGTCATGCCCTCCGTCCACCGCGACCGCCTTTCATTTCAGAGCTTTTTGAAATGCAGCCTGGAGAAGAAGTGGCTTTTCTCCCGCTCTCGCTGCTGAATTATGCTTTTTGCTTCTCTCTCAAGGCCTGCTGGCCACACTTTGAACATTTTCACAAGTGTCCTGTAGAGGAGGTTGAAGAAGAAGAGTTGAGGATGATGATGGCGGAGTCACCGCCACTTTGTTGTGTTCTTTTTTTTTTTCCTTGCACGTCATTTTCTTGCTCATTTCTTTCAAGGCATGCATGTCGATGTCTAGGCTTCGTGAAGCTCTGTTGTGAACTGCGACGACGCGAGCGTCGAAGAGAACCCCTAAAATCGCACACGCTTGTTCATGAACGCATGAGAAGTGAAAATGACCTGCAAATATCCGATGATTCTTGCCTTTGAGTTTCAAAATGGGCTTTCGAGCCAAGGTTAGGGTATCAAGGGGGCATTAGGGTTCCAAAAAAAGGGGTTCGGGCTTCAAGCCAAGGGTAGGATTTCAAAAAAGAGTTTTGGTTTTGAACTAGAGTGAGTTTTTCCAGTAAAAGCTTGTTTTTGAAATTAGCAGTAGAGTCGAGAATAAGGGTTAGGGTTTCAAGCCAGAGATAAGGGTTCGAGTTTTAAGCTCCTTGAGGTTTTCAAGCCAAGGGTTGGGTTTCAAGATAGTATGAGGTTCTCAAATAACTTGCAAGCCGGCGAACAGCAAAGCGCTGAAGCGCCTCATCAACGCGCCGTTGAGGTGCGACAGCGAGGCTTCGCGCGTTACCTTCTTAGCCGCGGGCGACAGCTGCCGTTCACCTGCAGAAAGCGGACCACTGCTGAGCTATCGCGCCGCTAATTGCTACCAGGTCAATTAGCCGCACATGTCGACAAAAGGTGCAAACATCCTTCTGTCCCGTTAAAAGTGGGATGCGGAGGTGATGATTGTTCACCTGGAACGGATGCACTTTTGCACCCACGATGTGCAACACCTCCGCGCAAGTAATTAGATTTTTTTTGTGTTTTTTCCAGCTACTCGCACAGTAACGCGTTGTCACTCTTGCGTAAAGAGACGCGACGCTTTATCTGGAAACACATTGCGATTTCTTCAGATTTTTGGAATGCCAACGTCAATACATGATGTGGTATGCTTTGGAAAATAATGGCTGCATAATTGACATGTGGTGTGGTATGTTTTGGGAAACAAATAGCTAGCCCGCAATTCATGTGGAATCATAATTATTCCCAGATGGTAGACAAAAAAAAAAGTGAAGGAAGTGAAATGTCGCACATATTTAATGTGCAAATGTGTGAAAAAAGTTTGGTGTAGTCGAGGAGGCATGTTACAATGTTAGCTCTGTTGTGCGATGTGATGACACGGCGCTGACTTGCCAGTTGCCTGTGGAGACACCTTCATGTCGACGCAAACTTTTTATGCCCCGGAGTTGAAGTTGAAGCAAAGTTCACGACTCGACGAAAGACAAACAGGCACCTGCGAGCACTGGAGCTTGCCGCGAATTTTAAGTGTGCTTCCGGATGAATGAAGTGAGTCATTGATTGATTTTTTTTTTTTTTTTTTTTTTTAATCCCGTTTTTTATTTGACTTTTTTCTTACAAAAACAATTGTCCTGATCAACAAGAGAACACACAAAATGCATCCAGAAAACAAAACAAAACCTGTACAGTCACTTTCGTCATGTGCCCTAAACACGTTATCTACAACAACCGTGGGGAGGTACAACCCACGGATCAAACCATTCGCGTTTTGAGACGATTGGGCTAGCTAGCTCGGTGGCGACGCGTATGAGATTAAAAACACAGGTGACTTTTTTTTTTTTCCCTTGTCCACATTTTTCTCCCCCCCCCCCCCCCCCCCCCCCCACCTTTAAACGACGAGGAGGGTCCACTGAGAGGTATCTGGCGGATCGGGGCAACCGATTTCGCTGGCATGCACATCTCGCAACGGTCTCGACTCCGTACGCAGAATTGAATCGCTAATGAAATAGATATGTCGGCGACCTCCAGCTGCCACGATGGTCACTTCAGACGAAGTTTAGCAGCCTGAATCCAGCCACAAATCGGGGTCAGTTCCAACACGTTTAGCCATTTACGTCGCTGAGAATTTGCAGCTCATTATTCCGGGGTTTTTTTTTTCTGTACAGTATCGTGTTGATAAGTCAGCCAAAGTTATTTCAAAATAAATGAAATAAAACACCAGGCTGCGAGTGTTTGTAAAACAGGATTGTAAGCTCATTTGCTAGCCTAAAGCTCGCAGATGATCATGATTGAGTGGGCGGGGGGGGGGGGGCTTGTTTTATCACCACACAAAGTTTTGAGGTTCCAGTTTAATGGGTGGTGTAAGAATACAAGAAAAGTTCCAGGAACTCGACCGACAAACCTCATGTTTTGGTCATGCGGCACAAGTCGGTGCGCTCACTTTTTTTTTTTGTCCTGGACTTTTTTTTTTGTGTATTTATGAACCAACAATTCCTTTAATTAATGATGATATTTCTCCTGCATTAGCTTAAGGTAATGAGAGGCTTTCGTGAGCGTGATTACATGTGAACATCTCCTGCTTGGACTATAGCTGAGATTCAGAGTCGACTAAATTCACCACAACCAAGTTCCCAGATTTGTTGCTAGACGAAGTTTATTTTTGTACTCTCGGACCAGCGCAGCTGAATGAAGACTATGCTGCCTTGTTTACTATTAACTATATCGTGACTATTTCGCTGCTCCAGTAAGTGTTTTATGCTGGCGACGGCCGGGTCAAAGGTCGCCTGTAAATTGTCTGATTGGAAGACGAGAAGCCAAAAAAAAATGCTTGATCGGCAATGAGTTCAACGTCAATGCGCAGTAGGTAAGCCAATTTGTCGACAAATCGGTTGAACCCCTCAGCTGTACTATTTTCTTAACTTGATTGATACTCATTGATTGTTATCAGGCCGTTCCGTGCTGCTTTGCTAGCTCGATGTCGTAGCTCAAGCGCATATAAATTGTCGCCGCCGTGAGTGGAATTTCAAAGGTCTGCAGTTCCAAAGTAAGCAGGAGAGGAGCTAACGTCGCTTGTTTTTGGAAACACACAATCGGGTGACGTATACGAAAGGTGGGGCCGGGCGGGGAGAATACAGCATCTAAAAAGGACTCACGGACACAAAATGCGGACATTGACTGACTGACGGATGCTTTGTGGTTAGCACTGGTGAAGACGCGCAACACACACACACACACACAGAGAAAAACAAAAAAAAAACAATCTGAAAGCTTTTTTTTACTCTAAAAAAGTGAGCATTGTGCATAGTTCGTGTGGTAACCCCTGGTCGGGTCCCTAACTTGCTGTGATAACACGGAAGGGAAGTGCAATCATGTACAATTGTGTCGCACTGAACATCATTGACACTTTCTCCCAGCGGGACTATCACAACAATGATTTTTTTTTTGTTTTGTTTTGTTTTTGTTTTTTTTTTTTTAACACCCAACACATGTGATCCTCCTTGTTCTGTAATGAAATACCGGGCCTCTTATTTGAAATGAAGTCCTACTTTCTACTCATACCTCGCCGACCCAGACCACCGTGTTGCCCCTCGTGACGTCCGACACTTCGCAGTGCGGCGTTCTCTGTTTGCCGTTCAGAATGAAGAGGGACTCGGCCGACGGCGTCAACAGGTACTGTCCGAACGGGCCGCTGGAGACCACCACCCGGTAGGGGGGCCCCCAGGGCCAACTCCGAGGGCCCAGTGGCTCCTTGAGGCCCCGGAGGACCTCGCTGTGTCCCGAGGACAGGTCGGCGAAGAGCAGGTCCGCGGTGGAATCCGAGGCGGCCACCGCCATGTATCTGTTGGACGCGGTGAAGGAGGGCTGGAAGACCAAGTCCGAGGTGGCCACGGGGTCATCCGTTTCTTGTCGGAGGCGCATCTCCCCCTGAAAGGAGACCGTTTGCACTGTCAGACGGGCGCCGCCGCCGCTGGGCGTCACGATGTAGCGGCCGTCCGGCGACACGAAAGCCCGTCCGGTGAGGTCACGGTTGCGCCCCACCACCGCGTCCGTCACGGCGTCCACCAGGAGCTGGGCTTTTCCACCCCGGCACTGGACAAAGTAGACGCCGCTCAGATGCGTGTAGGCCATGCTGGCCGGAACGCAGCTATAGTCCTTCAGACTGATGGTCTTTACGCGCCGCAAGGTCTCCAGGTCCACCTTGTGCACCGCCGGCTCGTCTTGGAGGAAGACGAAGGCGAACCTTGGTAGACAGAGTTCACGACAGAACTCGACTGGTTAGCGGCGATTAATAGGTGTCATTAGCTTTCTCATTAAGTTGGCGGGGGCGGGGGGCTTTTACCTCACGTGAGTGATGATGAGGTTGGTCGGCGGGATGAAGAAGTCGCTGACCCTCTGGAAGGAGGTTCGAATGGTGTGATGGACTTCACCCACGCTGGCTTGAGGGATTACCTGGAAGGGAACCGGTAGAACTCGCATAAAATGTACTGCGTTAATTATAACCCCATAGAAAGCGTTTGTTTTACTTCAAGTAGAAAAGAATGTCGATCTTGTTGCTCTCTGATGAGCCCCTTGCTGTCAGACACACTGTTGGGCACATTGGGAATTTAATTCTGACACTCGTGCACTATGTCCGCTTTGAGTGGTTGTTTTTTTTTTCGGAGAGGGAGAGCGTGCTTCACTCCCATTCATTTCCAATCAAATCCAGCACCGGCAAACCGTGTCCCCAGTCGGAGCGCCGAGTGCGCACACCGGCCCTCGATTTTTGGTGCACTCAGAATAACTGAGTGAACCATACTTTTTATAGATTATCCTTTGGTGTCACAAAGAAACAGAAGCTAGCTTACGCCACCGCTAATGCATCAATTGCCTTCACGAGCTAAATTGATCAGATTTTAACGTCAACATTTTTCAGCTTTTCATATCCCAGTCACGGCAAACAAAGAGCTTAATTATTTAGGCTCCTTTGGTCCCTGATTTCCCTCGCCGTACTGTACGTATTTTCACACGCGTCCACCTCATCACTTCCTGCCTTTGAGATAAGCAAGTGGCGCCCCGAGGTGACATCCTCGTCCGTCTTGGCGGCGATAATCATCGTAAAGGTCTGCAACGCCGGCGCATGAAATGCGACCCCCGCAACGCTTGAGCCCGATAACGCGTCTCATTCCGAGCTGCTTGTCTCGCAACGTGGCGCGCAGAAGGATTTTTATCTTTGGCTTCACCTGCCGCCGAGTCATCACTTTTTCAATAATTTTCTTCAAGTACGGCGAGGCAGTACTTGACGTAACGTCTTTTGTCTTTTATGCGATGTAACATTGACTCCCGTATCCTCAAGAGTTTTTCTTTACTCAGCTGCAGAGCATCAAGACATTTTAATTGTGAGAATAAAACCACAAAATAATTTTTGTGGCACTTATTTAATCAATACTGAGAGAGTAGTAGGGCCACATAAAATGATGTGGCGGGCCAGATCTGGGCCCCTGGCCTTGAGTTTGACACCTGTGGTGTAATCAGTGTGATGATTAAAAAAAAAAAAAGCAAAACTCACCCTGAACATCTGAGCCAGAGCAAGTATTGCCCTAGTTTTCAGTTTGGTTTTTTTTGGAGCAACTTCCAGTCACAAAACAAATTATTTTGATTTGGACCACCTACCACTGCTACTTTTAAACATGGAGCTTTTTTTTTTTTTTTTCCGTTTTACAAAAACAAGTCATCAAATGCACTGCAGCATCTCGCCGTAGCCCAGTGGGGGGGGACTCCATTCCGCCTGCGCTCGCTCCTAAAGAAATGATAAATAATAAACCCACCCAAAAAAAAAACTCTTTCTTTGAAACAAAATCTCAGCAGCACTCGAGACGACCAAGCAGAAAACTCAGGAGGTGACGGGATACAATGGCGGGAGTTAATACGGTTCCACTGGGTATTATCACGAGGCCGAAGTGCGCTAAGCTTCTTTCCACCCACTCTCTCTCGTTGTTGCGACGTCATCCCGGGGCTTTCATCCGACTCGATTGCGAGCATCTCTCGTTTCCCTCCAAACATCAGAGCGGTTCAAAACCCGGTAGGAGTCATTTTAAAACAGCACTCGTGATGTGAAATGGTTAAAATTGGACTGGTAAAGGACTTTTTAAGGATTGAGAAAAGTGTCAAATGAAACGTAAGAAAAGTGACTGTCGCTTTAACGTGTTGTTCTGAAAACAAAAAGAGTCGAAGCGTCTCAAAAGAGTCATCCATTCGGGTCTGGGAGGATCACCCCTCGGCGAGGCGTCGTAACCATGCAGGCGGCCGTAAACACGATTCCTTGCCGCAGTTAGAATTGGATCTTTGCCTCCGGCGGGACGGAGCGCGGCCGTAAACATGTTTGTGACGATTATACATAGGACCACGGCGGCGTCCCCCTCGGCCCATTTCCCACGTGTCCCTGACTCTCGGTGGATTAGCTTCGTCCCCCCGCAGTCGTTGACAGTTTCATTTGTCACTCATCCCTTAAGTGTAATGAGGTTCAAATTTGGTAGAAGTCTCTTGGAGGATTTTTATTATTTTTGAAAGACCCCCTAGAAATGACCTTTAAAATGGCTGCTTCAAACCAACTGGCATTTTTTTGTGCTGCTTTGGCGAGTCGGCAAACTTTGCTGCCACGCTTCGCCCACGGACTAACTTTTGGATGTGGCTTCTTAATTTTTTGTGGGTCTATTCATTTGAGAAATGCCTCGTAAATTTCACATTGCTAAGTGAAAACTAGCTTTTGGCGCCGAATCGAAGAATGTTTACGTGTTGTGGCGAATCATCCTGATCTGCTTGAAAAGTTAAAAGTAGACCTTTCAGTCATGGCTTCTTGGGGCTTTTTTTTGTGTCTCTACTCATGATAAAGCTGTCGACCAAATTTCATGTGGCTGAAATGCTATTTACTGACTTTGGGAGGCTAAATTCTCCAAAAAGTTCAGACGTACCTGGAGCGTCGGGCGCATCCGGTCCATGTCACCCCACGTTAGCACCCACACTTGGTCATGTGACTTGTCATAGAGCATTTTCACGGGAAACGGATCTGTCGCGACTGCCTGCAAAACAAAGAGTGCGCGGATGGACTCGTTTTAATCCTGATGTGTAGATTCCAAAACTTCCACTCAAGGGGGTTTTCACCAGGGAATTCCGCATCGATATCACATCTTTTACTAGAGTAACGATTTTCCCAAATTTAATCCTGACTGCGCCTGTTGGCAGCATCGTAAACAATATCATTTTGGAATAAAGCCATGACATAAAAACATCATGACGGATATGGCCGATTCACAAAATACTTATTTCAGCTAACTTTGATATGCAAGGTTAGCAGCTAAGAAGTCAAACCAAATTTAATCCAGTTCTGATCCAAATTGCAAATTCGGCTGCAAAGTAAACCATCATTTTGGCCGTGACGAATCCGATCAGTTAACTACTTTTTCAGCTCAAGTTGCGACATACTGTCGATGCAAGGTCAGCAACTGGAATATCTAACTGAGTTTAATCCAAATCTGATCCAGATGGCATAATCGGTTGCAATGTAAACACAAGATGGAAAAATCTCATTTTGGGCAATTAATGTGTATCTGTGTCAAATGTCTGAGTTAATTAAATATTTGCATTTTTTGCATTAAAAAAAATAGCTGAAAATACAAAAACATAAACAGTAGCCAAAATGTAACACGGTAAAAATGAGTGGCTTCCAAATTCCAGGAAAGGCCGATTCAGACAAGAGCCTTGGGTGGGAGGTCTGCTCGCTCTCGCTCTCGCTCTCTCTCTCTCTCTCTCTCTCTCTCTCTCTCTCTCTCTCTCTCTCTCTCTCTCTCTCTCTCACTCTTATAGGACTTAACGAGCTATATGTTTTGGTTGAGCCGCTAACCAAAGGTCACGAAAACCTCTGCCGAGCCTTTTCGTAACATCTTGACTCATTGCTCCACAGGCGGCCATGCAACATTTTTGCCTGACATTTGGGAAAAATTGATTTTGTTGGGCAGCAGATGTCCCATCATGCCAACACAGACGTGCTAAACGTGCTCAGCTGGTCGGGATGGTGATGGATAGAGCGGACAGAGACTCGGGGGGTGGGGTGGGGGGTGGGGAGAATGAATTACAGTAAAAAGGCAGAAGAGAGAGGAGACATGAAGGGTCAGCAAGCAGGAACAACACAATCCATTAACCTGCTTCTGCATGGCTGCACGGGGAGTTGCTGACACCCCCCCCCCTCCTCCCCCCATCACTACTGTGTTATTGTAAAAATTGGTTCAATTCTTTTTTTTGGCTTCAAAATTCCACACAAAATACTACATGACGATAACATAAGAAAAAGGTAACTTACATTTTTGTACATTTATTAGAAATAAAACGCTCACCTCTTGGGTCCATACACTTCAATCGCTTTTAAGACTCAAATATTTCCTGGCTCTTAATTCATCCTAACCCACCGCAAGATATTTTTCATTTGAAAAATAACTTGAATAACTTTACAATTCTGTAAACACAGTTTGCCCGTTTTAAAGCTTTACACACACACACACAAAAAAAAAACCCACCAAATGATGTTACAGAAATTTTTTTTTATGGATTATTCATTTCACAGCCCCCTTATTTGCAATAATTTAATACTCTCAAAAAAGTAATTGTATGCATTTTTATGGCTGTAAGTTTTATTGGGGGGGGTTTCAATAGTATTTGAAATGAAGCTGAAAATAAATACTTTCTAGATGCATTGTGGTCATAGCTATTCTCACTTTTCCAGTCTTGGTGTGTTATCGGTTTCCAAAATCCGATAAATTAATTTTTCGCCGCAATACTTGTCACAAAATATCACCTCATATAAAAGTAAAAAAGTCAATGTGCAAATTCTTTAGAAATGAAACACTCAAATATTACATGGGCATCTTTACTGCGAATACATTGTGAACTTGAATGAATATTTGAATTTTTAATTCATTTTAATGGATGCAAATTTTAGTATTTTTTAAAAAAAATGATGCGTCGTGGTTGTCAATTTTGTCGAGAGAAAAAAAAAGCGCGAAAGTCCGAGCGACTCTCCCTTAAAATTTGGCCTTTTGCACTTCCCATCATGCATCAGGCCCCGGGGAGCCTTTGAAGTCGACTCTTGTCGGAGGGCGTTTTCCGCGACCCACCTGCACCACACGCTGCGCTTGGATGTCCACGACCAGGAGTCGGCTCTGGAGGGGCTGGCTCACATAGACGTACTTCTCGCGGACGTTGACCGCCGACGACCACACGCAGCGCTGAGGGGACGGCCCCTCGCCTTTGGGGCACATCTCTTCCTGCCGGGGTGGGCGGGCGGCGGGGGGGGGGGGCGA